AGAAACAATTTTTCTAAGATGCTTTAATTGTGACCTGGCAGTAAGTTATGATTGCCAAGTTGGGAGTCCTGCTGATGAACCACTCGTTGTTCTGCATGGCAGCATGCATTCCTGAACTTTTGGATTTCATCTCAGATCTGGGCTTTGTTTGAAATTTAAGCATTTTGTGAGCATTCCTGAGTTGGAATTTAACTGAGCAAGGGTTAGTGAAATAGATGTTATAACTAACAAAATGAATTTTATGTACAGGAATACATTATAAGATTAGGCAAAGCCTAGCACCTACTGGCTGCATGCTGTCATAATATTAAAAGCTATAAATAAACTTCTAGCTGCTGTCAAACAAGTCCAAATGCTCTCTTATTTTATGATCTGAAACATCAGAGTAGGCATACACCGAATCTTGAAGGGCAAGCTATTTCAGAAGAAAGGGACTAAAGCTGTAAAAATCAATTTCCAGGACCCAGACCTCTGTTTTGTTTTGTTTTGTTTTCAGAACAGTTTTCTTCCCCTTTGTAGGTCAGGCAGATTCTACCTGAAGAGGTTGCCCCTGAAGTCAAAGGCCTAAGTAATAAAAGGGTTGGATAGATGTTTATCCAGCATCTTGAATTGGCTTAGAAACCTATCAACAGCCAGATCAGCTCACTTTAGATGTCGTTCTACTAAACTGGCTAATGCCAATCAGAAAGTGAGGTGCTGGATTCTATGCCAGTTAGTATAACTTGGGCTAAGAGAAAGTACCATGCCCAATACTGTAACCTAATGTCTGAATGGAGATCTGGATTGGGGATTTTCAGTTTATAACCCTAAAAAATATGCTGCCTCTCAGTTTGAAATTTAATTCAACACAGGCAGAAAAACATACATTCTGTGAATTAAATCTTGAGTATTATACATTAGAAAGAGCTGATAATATAATTGTTGTATGTTCAGAATCCTTAAGTCAAAGATGGACACAGAAACATCCTGGCATTATAGAAATTTCCTGCTTAATTTTAGTTAAATTTAATTTTCTTGTCAAATTAATATAATTTGACTGCTTTGACTGCCTTAAGCAAATATTTGGCTATTTTTCAAAACTCAAACTTAATGAGAATTGATTATCTAACTTCACTAAAAAAACTAAAATACAATATTTTATTGAATTATAGCTAAAAGAAAAATGCTATTTTTCTTTATTAATCGGAAGTAATTTAGTAAGTTAATGGTGTTTAATATGATTCTGGGATCGTTGTACATGATAGATCCACATTATAATGCTACTCACAGAGTATAAATTAAATCTCTCTACAACGCATTGATTTCAATTTACTTGGTACAATTTGCTCTCTCCTTGACAAAGTAGATAATTTTCCTTCTCGGTGTTCTCTTTGGATCACTAAAAAGAGGTATATTTTCTTTAATTGCAGAATGGACATGAATACTTCACTGCTTACGTTGCTAGTTTAAACTGCAACAATGTTGAACTAAAGATGTGCTTTATAATTAAATGTATTTAATTCAATGTAATTATATCTTGCAATTTAACAATAGGGACAGAGAAAAAATTGTGCTCAATAATTGTTTTCACAATGAGTTTGATATTGCTGAACTCTTTCAGAGTGATCTTTATCCGTGGGCTATGACTAGAGAAGAAATTGATCAATTCAGCAAAGAGAATGGCTTTACTGGTTGGACTGAGACATCTGTCAAGGAAAACAAAAACGTAAATGAGTCAATGAGGTAGGGAAAATTGAATGCTTAAATATTTCTCAAAAGCAGTTGGGCATATTGTTCCTTTATGACTATAGTAAGTAGTAGTATCAAGTAGTGCTGCAGATGTATTTAAGTAAGTTCTCCAAATGGGAAGTAGTGCAGCTTAGATTGGAATGAGAACTATCACAGAGATCAGGGCTAATTTATATCGAGATGATTGCCATTGCTATAGCTTATAACTGTAATGTAACAGTGATTCTCCATAGAAGTCTATGTTCTTACAGTAAGAGGCAATAAATTGAACAAACAGCATAACACAAGAAACAACAGTATATGCCTAGTTTATTAATATTTATGCACTTGAGCATCTCAGAGTTACAAACATATCTAGATGCTTGTTGACCTGTAGTTCTGTCATTAAAAATGTTGTATAAACAGTGCAGTGCAGATTTCCAAAATTATAGTTTTATTATTTACTCATCTAAAAGAGATCCAGAATAGAGAGTTGCAAAAATAAATGGAGACTTACCCTTTCTTGAGATGCTGTCAAATGATTGCTGAACAATTTGTGGGTAACTTAGTTTTCTTCCTTCCTAGGGTCCTTGTTGAAAAAATGATGGCTACAACATGGCTAGGTGATAATGACATGTCTGTTTCAGGCCATGGAGACTATATCAATTTGAAAGATGGATCCACATCCAACTTGGGTTGCTGCTAACTATATTTGCTTCTTCATCTGACCAGAGGTCTAAAGTACCATTCAGACAAATCTATATACCTTTTAAAAGCACTCACAAATTCTCTGTCTGCACTGTTGAGAAAATCAGAAAGAAGGCAATCCCTCATTCTAGCAGGGACAATGGAAAATACTGCCTTAGCTGCTTATGAGCCACTGATGTACATTTTCCCCATTTCATTCAGTATTGCCTCTTCAGCTTCCTCAAGTATGCAGGATCTTCTGCTGATTTCAGCTCCCAGCAGTTAAAGGAAAATCTCCACTTGTCTTGATCAAAAACACCATTGCAGGAAGTATGGGTATTGGGACCTTTCAAACATCCAAATGCCCCTAGCCTAAGGAATCTTGTTGTGTTTGACTGTTTATCCTCTGCTCACATTTAGCATAGACTTCTTTAAATGAGTCTTTTTTGGAAAGAGGCTTTGGACTGTCTCGTGACGCAGCTACAGAATCCTCTTATTGCACTTTTCTTGAAGTGCCATTTTTGGTTTGTTGCTTTTGTCTTTTTCACCAATGTTATGTTTAAGCTTAGGAAAATTCTGACCACTTTTTTCCCCTGCACATGCAGTTGTTAAGCTCTTTCTTGAAGTTATTTTATTAGAGAGCCAGCGGTGAAGAGAGGCTAAAGCTATTGACTTCATTGCACTGATACACCTTACTAAGGCACCAGCCATATTTGTTGTCTTTATAGCCCTTTCTCTTGCAGGATCTAATTTGCCTCTTTCAGATTCTGATGAATTACTTGCCTTCAGCCATCCAACTAAGAAGGGTTATATAGCAGCATGGCAGGCTCTTTGAAAGGCCACCTACTGGTTTAGTGATCTGAGGGACAAAACAGAACAGAGAGTGTAGCAGAATAAAAGCTAAAGTTAAAATATTTCCTATGCCTTTTATTTTTTAAAAAATAGCAGGAATTAACCCAATTTTCCTGGTATTATTAGCTGGCAGCCTTCTGTTTTTGGTGAACATATGAAGTTAAAGCTACTTACGTTTTTATAAATTGGTCAGTTTATAATTCAGGGAGGTTGATATCGCAAAATTGTCATAGATATTGAAGCATTTGAATTTTTAATATTCATTTTTAAAATGGTCAGGCAAGTGCAGTGCTTAAGAGTAAAATATTCTGGAGATGAAAAAGATCAGAAGTTATTGGAGGACTGATTGCAAGTAGCTCTTTCGTTGTCTGTCTTGGCTATGCTAACACAACAGCAAGGCTTGAAAAGCCTTAAAATAGGTGCTTCACACAGGTTGAACCAGTCGTCCTTCCAGAAGACTCCCAATGGCTGTTTCAAGGGCTTTCCCAGACTCCCTTTACGTATGCATCCATAGGTGTTTCATTTGCGGTCTGTCTGAGCAAAGTCATGCACTAACAAATTGGGAAAGCTCTTATATTTGAAGATGGAAATTCAGTCCTTTTAAACGGTCTAAACTGTGTAGGGGGTGAGTTCTATGTCAGCTTCTCTATGTGTAAGTGTGTGTATTTTCTAGAGATTATATCAATTCCAGGGGCCTTCTGCTAGAACTGCAATGACAAAATCTTTACATTTAGATATCTTTCTTAATGACAATCTCCTCATTACCTGTATTTTTTTTTTAATTGCAGTTATCAGAAACATACTGTAGTGATCAGCAATTCAAACTGAACCACTTTTAAGGTGTGCTGAATAGGAGAACTGTGCTCCATTTAAGTTTGCTTATTTTTTGAAGTACAGTATTCAAGCATTACTTGGTCCTGTTTTAAACAGGGAACAGCAAAACAGCATAATATTCTTCCTACAGCATACAAACAATACCAATGTTTTGCCTAGTTGAGTTAACAAATATTAGGAAAAGAATTTAAGGAAACAATTGTGTAGAAAATTTCTCTTCAACATCCATTGGAGGGAATCCTTATGAGATGGTCATACTGTTTGTCTGAAAGACAGAAGTAGTTCTTGTACCATTTTAGGAAACAGTATATGATGCAGAACTGAATGTCTATCCAAAAGGAATTGCTGTCAACTAATTGGTCTGAAGATGTTTTAACAGGTTGCACATATTTTTTTCAAATAGCATTTCTGGCACAGCATCATTTCCTTTTGATGGCAGTAAAGCATGGGAATTTAACGGATTACATCTTATCAATTAAGCTCAGTGCAGCTACTTTGACTGACTACAATGGGGAACTTTATGGGAATGATATAAAATTGCTTTATGCTGGTTTATAGTGAGAGGAACATGTATAGAATTTTATGTCTGTGAACTTTTGCACTGTGCTTTTTTTAATCACATGATTTGTCAACTTGCCCTTTTAGACAATAAACAAGCCTTTTAAAAATAAACAAAAATGTCAAATTGTTATTTGCACCTATTTATTGGCTCATAAACATTATTTGAAAGATTCAATGGCTAGGAAAACAGCAAATTTGCCTTGAGCAATCATGAAAGGATCCACAAGAATGCAAGGTATATAATTAAAAACAAAACTACAACCTTTTAAAATAAAGCGTTGCAAAATAAATGATAGTTTGAATATTAATTCTGGTTTGTGGCTGATCTTAAATTATTTGCAACCCTTTTTTTGTCTAGTCTTATCACAGTAAACATGTTATTTGCATAAATGTTTTATGCTACATACTTTAAGCAATTGTCGAAACACACACACACTGCTTACATTCCGTTTAAAAACATTTGTTCCTGCTCCTTTGTTGGCTGCAGATGAAGAGGAAAGCCTTCAAAGGAGATGAACTTCAATGATAATAGCTCTTTTAATTTTTCTAAAGGAAAAATTAATTTGTTTCAATGTGTAAAACTCATCTAAGTGCACAAAAAGACCTTTAAGTTGATAATGAAATCATTTTTCTCTTACATGTTCATTATGCCTTCTGTAAATTTATCCTTTCTTTCAAGATTGCTTATATTGTAAGCACTTTCTATATATCTGATATTGCAGAATTAAAAGAAAATGGAAGAAAACATTATATACTATCCCATGCCTTCCCCTAAAAATTAAACTTTATTTCCCTTGATAATATCTTGTCCTATGGATAGATTCTACTGCTCATTAGTAGGACAGTTTCTTTTTATATAAGGAGGCTACTTTCTATATAATGTAGACGCTACAAGCTTCTTACTGTAGCTTGTAAAGTGTAAATGTATGGAATAAAATTATTCAGTGTTTTTCAATGCAGTTGATTTGAGAGTGAAGAATAGTATCAGTTACAAAATCAGTTTTAGAATACCATCCATGCTTCCACAGTTGATAATATGTTATTTGCTCACTTTTCCTGATTCATCTACATCAGGGGTAGTCAACCTTGGCTCTTTTATGACTCGTGGACTTCAACTCCCAGAATTCCTGAGCCAGCTAAGCTGGCTCAGGAATTCTGGGAATTGAAGTCCACGAGTCATAAAAGAGCCAAGGTTGACTACCCCTGATCTACATGGTGTCACATGGAATACAAATTAGATATAGTAAAATTATTATCATCTAACCACTGTTCTCTCATTCCTTCTTAGTCTACAAAATATGTAGCACCCACTTATAGACCAGGGGTTTATATACATGCTGTACAAAATGTGTACATGGCTATTCTATACGTAATCTCATAGAAAAATTGAGAATCTTCCAATAACTATTACTACAATCAAATACTCAAGTTTTACAAGACGACAGGTTCCATGTGTGTGTGTGTGTGTGTTATATACTGTAAAATTCTGGCCATACCTTAATAGTCATAAAGACAATTAAAATATCTATAAAACATTAAATACATGAAAACTGTAAAATATAAAACTAAAAGACTAGCATTAGTTTGGGTTTTGTTTATTCAGCCATTTATTACAGCTGCTTTTAAGTTGTTTCAATCACCAAGACTCTGAATAGACAGGTGGCCCCACAACTACTTTTGTTCTTATATTCTGGACCAGCTAGAATTTAAATGTATTCAAATGAATCTTGTCTGAATTAGGCTTCATTTATTCTATTACCGATACTAATAGATCAATGCTCAGCTGATCCCAAAAAAAGCAAACCCTGCACTTGTGGAAAAATGCTAGGAAGAAAACACAGTATTTTTAAACACAATTTTGAATTATATTTTGTTCACAAGTATTAGCTTTCTGTTATATTCCCATTATATCCCCATTCAGACTTTCTACTTATAAATTGACGTTAAGTGAACCAAGACTGCCATTCTTATCCATATTTATGGACCCATTTAGATCTCTTGTACTAGAATTCTTTGCTAGAGTGTTCTAAGTGTCAGAATAGTTTTTCTAAACTGTCACATCAATACATTTGAAATGATGATTCAAGGTCTTCTGTATGTTAGAAGCATGAGTAAATCATTAAATCTCTTATAGTGGATTTTTTGGTATTTTGAAATTTTGAAAGTACTGTACTCCGTTACTCCACTAATTCTGCCTGGAGTTCCTTTGATTTTTCCCATCCAAATGTAAGATTATTCCATTTGTTCCTGATGAGATTTATATTTTTGCTTTTTATTCCAGCTGATTAAATTCCTCCTAATCTTGATACATCTGCTAAGGTGTTCATTATCTCTCCATTTTTGTGTCAGCTACAAATGTGATAATCATATTTTCTAACAGCACTGGGCCTAGAATTGATTCTGGCAGTATGTTACTGCCATAATGTATGTTTTTGGGAACTGATGTTCACCCAGTTCTTTATCCTTAATCCAGCCCATGTTTTGCTGTCTTCACTGCTAGGATCAAAAGTGAGAATTCATAGAATGCATTACTGAAGTCAGGGTATATTATGTCCACTGCATTCCACTGGTCAAGTATATTGACCAATTTTATTTAAAAAAATGTTGATTGGGATCCTATGACTATATCTTTAAAGAAACACATTTTGGCATTTGGTTCTGCCTTACTTTTTGTTGCTTAGGTAAAAATTCTATTTCCAGTTGCAGGAAGCAAACTGTTCTAGTTTTTGCTGAATTGTAGGATAAATCTCAGTGATGTAAACTTCAAATATGTGTCAATCAGACACAGCAGAAGTTAAATTATGTTTAACTCATTAAATTATGTTTTGGTATATACTATTGTGTCCTGAGCCTGCAAAAGGAGGCTCGGGACGTTGCATTGGTCCTGGGCATTCCAAAGCTGCCCGGGACCAGACAGAGCGGCGCCAGCCTTGTGCGCATGCGCAAGGCGCGAAACGCTCTGTTCCTATTGGTTGACATTGTCCGGGTTTCAAGTCATATAAAAAGGCCTGCATGCCTTCTTTTTTCATTTGGTTGTTGTGGAAGGGAATAAAGCGTTTGTTTAACATCGCCATGTGTCTTCATTACTCGCTCGCGAATGAAGTACACAACACTGGCGACGAAGGTGGGATCTTCTGCAAGCTAAAATAAAAGATTAAGGACTTACCCAGGAAGTCTGAAGAGGGGAAGACGGCGTTTGAATCAGCGTCCCAGCCTGCCAGTACAGCATCGCTGGAGGTTGAGCTCGGCTAAAGAACCCTTTCCCCAAACAGCAGCCTGCAGAGGAAGCGAGTGGTGAAGTCATAAAGTTTACGATGTCGAAGATTGGCCGCTTGACTGATTTCGATGTCTCCCACCCAGAGAGATGGAATTCCTACATAGCACGGGTGGAGAACTACTTCAGAGTGAATCAGATTAGAGAAGATGGCCTGAAGGCAGCAACTCTTTTGTGTGCCTGTGGACAAGAAGCTTTTGACATCGCAGAAAATCTGGTGGCCCCTGCACCTCTGGAGTCAGTAACATATGCTGACTTGAAGAAAATGTTGAGGGAGCATTTCCAGCTGAAGCTATCCGTTATTGCTTGGAGGCACGCGTTCGAGCAGAGAGACCAGAGGCTGGGTGAATCTGCTGCGGACTTTATTGCGGCCTTAAGGCAAGCAGCCAGACCGTGTGAGTTCAAAGATCTGGAAGAGAGGCTGCGAGATAGATTTGTCTGTGGCTTAAGGAGCAGAGACTTACAGCAAAAGCTTTTTGCAAGAGAAGATGTCTCCTTCCAAGATGCGTTGCGAGAGGTGGCAGCTGAGGAAGCAGCAGGCGGAGCTGTGAAGGCCTTGCACCTGGCTAGGAATCCTCCTGACACAGCTACCACCCATCAAGAGGATGCTCGAATAGGATCAGAAGAGGATCCTGAAGAGGAGGTCGACAGACTTCATCAGCCTGCGGAGAGGAGACAGAAGGGACGTCTGGTCAAGACCCCAGCATTGCTTCAATGCTTCGGGTGCGGAGGACGCCACAAGCAGGCTGACTGCAGGTTTCGCTCCGCCATTTGCAGGGCGTGTGGCAGGCAAGGCCACATTGCATCCGTCTATTTGGGTCGCCAGAAGGTTCAACCTCGGGAAGAATTGCTTCAGAAAGGTACCAGGGTCCCCAGCCAAAACAGGGTGGGCTTCTGCGCATCGCGCAGGAGTATTCTAAGAACAGGGTCACACAAGCACCTTAAGAAGAAACTTTCCATTAACGTAAAGTTGCAAGGAGTTCCCTTATGGATGGAGTTGGACACTGGGTCCGCTCTTTCCATTATTTCAATTACTACTTTTAAAAAGATTTGTAGCTATAGTGGCCTTCGAGTTAAACTCAGGCCATCCAATATAATACTGATTTTCAGAATTCTGTGGTGTGCGTTAAGGGGGAGGCCACCCTTAGGGTACAGTATAAGGATTTTGAAGGTCCCCTAGATGTGGTGGTTGTTGGGGGTGAACGTACGAGTCTTATTGACCATATTTCTATCAATTTCAGGTTTTAATATTGCCCTTCCATTCTGCTCTTCACTATTTCCTATTGCAATGTGTACCTCTTTGGTTGGAGACATCTGAACAAAAATAATTTACTTTTTATTTATTTATTGTTAAATTTATTTGCCACCCATCTTGCCAAGGGGCTACTCTAGGTGGCTTACAACAAAAAAAGCAAGAAATATAGGTATAAACAAAACAGAAATAAAATAGAAGAATAAAATGAAAATGAAAAAGAACAACAAGAATACATCAATATGATAACAAAACTATGGATGGGTGGAAAGCAGAGACCAAGGGGGTAGAATGGAGTCTGCCATCAATCCAGCAGCCACCTCCAGTATGGAATGCCACCATTTGGTCCCCAGGCCAACTGGCAGAGCCAGGTCTTCAGCTACTGCAGAAGGATATAAGGGTAGGGGCAGATCTTAGAGAGTAGAATGTTCCAAAGGGCGGGCAGAGCAGAGAAGGCTCTTTTTCTGGATCCCGATAGAGTTTTTTGACTAATGGAATTTGTAGTAGGTCCTTTCTGCTGGGACAAGTAGGACAGACTTGTCCTAGCAGGACAAGACGATAATACGTTTAATAT